CTGGTGCTCGCTGTGCTGCTGCTGCTGCTGTGGCTGTTGCTGCTGCTGCTGCTGCTGCTGCGCTGTGCTGCTGCTGTGCTCGCTGCTGCTGCTGCTGCCTGTTTGCCGCATAATGTAACTAACGTATAATTACCAACTCTTCAATATGAATATGCAGATTGAACTTATTAGGATCATAATTGGATTCAATTTTTGAGGCAGAAATACTCTTGCCACACTATTAATAAGGATAAAAAACAGGGTTAACCAAAACCGCAATAAAAAACGGGACTCCCCGCCCCTCTTTCCAAAATATAGGCGGGACTGTTAGAAACTGACGTACTTAGCCTAACACAAAATCAAACTTAGTACCATGAAAGATCAGCTTTAAATAGTTTGAAGCCAAACTGAAGGGGCGTTCTGTAGTTATTTCACATTTCTCTGGTGGCCTGGTGGTTAACGCTCTCGCTTCACACGGCGAGGGCCTGGGTTCGATTCCCAGCCAGAGTAGAAACATTGGACGTGTTTCTTTCCACCTGTTGTCTATGTTCCCCATCAGTAAAATGGGTACCTGGGTGTTAGTCGACTGGTGTGGGTCGCATCCTGGGACACTGACCTAAGGAGGCCTGGTCACAGACCGGGCCGCGGGGGCGTTGACCCCCGGAACTCTCTCCAGGTAAACTCCAGGTAATCCCATTATACACTAACGCTAAGTTTGAAGTCGTTCGGAAGCTGCGTTATCAAGTTATTGGGTTGAAGACTGAAAGGCAGTTGAAGGAGGAACTCTCAGATTATTTTATTAAAATAATTCAGTTTTTCCCATTTTTTTCAATAAAAATGGCAATTTGGGACCAAGTCATTGTATGTATGAAGGTTTGAGAGTCATTGTAGCGCTGAAGTTTGAGAGTCATTGTAGCGCTGAAGTTTGAGAGTCATTGTAGCGCTGATGGTTTGAGAGTCATTGTAGCGCTGATGGTTTGAGAGTCATTGTAGCGCTGAAGTTTGAGAGTCATTGTAGCGCTGATGGTTTGAGAGTCATTGTAGCGCTGATGGTTTGAGAGTCATTGTAGCGCTGAAGTTTGAGAGTCATTGTAGCGCTGATGGTTTGAGAGTCATTGTAGCGCTGAAGTTTGAGTCATTGTAGCGCTGATGGTTTGAGAGTCATTGTAGCGCTGATGGTTTGAGAGTCATTGTAGCGCTGAAGTTTGAGAGTCATTGTAGCGCTGATGGTTTTAGAGTCATTGTAGCGCTGATGGTTTGAGAGTCATTGTAGCGCTGAAGTTTGAGAGTCATTGTAGCGCTGATGGTTTGAGAGTCATTGTAGCGCTGATGGTTTGAGAGTCATTGCAGCGCTGAAGTTTGAGAGTCATTGTAGCGCTGATGGTTTGAGAGTCATTGTAGCGCTGAAGTTTGAGAGTCATTGTAGCGCTGATGTTTGAGAGTCATTGTAGCGCTGAAGTTTGAGTCATTGTAGCGCTGAAGTTTGAGAGTCATTGTAGCGCTGATGGTTTGAGAGTCATTGTAGCGCTGAAGTTTGAGAGTCATTGTAGCGCTGAAGTTTGAGAGTCATTGTAGCGCTGAAGTTTGAGAGTCATTGTAGCGCTGATGGTTTGAGAGTCATTGTAGCGCTGATGGTTTGAGAGTCATTGTAGTGCTGAAGTTTGAGAGTCATTGTAGCTCTGAAATTTGAGTCATTGTAGCGCTGAAGTTTGAGAGTCATTGTAGCTCTGAAATTTGAGAGTCATTGTAGCGCTGAAGTTTGAGAGTCATTGTAGCGCTGAAGCTTGAGAACCATTGTAGCTCTGACGTTTGAGAGTCATTGTAGCGCTGAAGTTTGAGAGTCCTTGTAGCGCTGATGGTTTGAGAGTCATTGTAGCGCTGATGGTTTGAGAGTCATTGTAGCGCTGATGGGTTTGAGATCACTGTAGCGCTGATGGTTTGAGAGTCATTGTAGCGCTGAAGTTTGAGAGTCATTGTAGCGCTGATGGTTTGAGAGTCATTGTAGCGCTGATGGTTTGAGAGTCATTGTAGCGCTGATGGTTTGAGAGTCATTGTAGCGCTGATGGTTTGAGAGTCATTGTAGCGCTGAAGTTTGAGAGTCATTGTAGCGCTGATGGTTTGAGAGTCATTGTAGCGCTGATGGTTTGAGAGTCATTGTAGCGCTGATAGTTTGAGAGTCATTGTAGCGCTGAAGTTTGAGAGTCATTGTAGCGCTGATGGTTTGAGAGTCATTGTAGCGCTGAAGTTTGAGAGTCATTGTAGCGCTGAAGTTTGAGATTCATTGTAGCGCTGATGGTTTGAGAGTCATTGTAGCGCTGACGTTTGAGAGTCATTGTAGCGCTGAAGTTTGAGTCATTGTAGCGCTGAAGTTTGAGAGTCATTGTAGCGCTGATGGTTTGAGAGTCATTGTAGCGCTGAAGTTTGAGAGTCATTGTAGCGCTGATGGTTTGAGAGTCATTGTAGCGCTGAAGTTTGAGAGTCATTGTAGCGCTGAAGTTTGAGAGTCATTGTAGCGCTGATG